GCTTGTGGAAAAGGGATTCTGAGCAGAGGTGGGGCGAGCAGCACACCACACAGACTTCAGCCCTCGCTACCTGCTGGACACAGGGGTCACATACTCTGACTGCGGACTCACCTAGGCTGTGCATGTGTGTGTTTGTTTTGGAACTTGATTAGGCAAAGCTGGACTGAATTGGAGGGGTAGTGACATTTTCTTGGTTGAAGGAACAAGATTGTGGTTAAATATATTAAGGAGGCAGGCATATCTTACTGCATCAAACCCTAATGCCCCACTCTTGGTTAAGTAAAGCATGTCTGTTTTGCTTATATTCTCTTAATTGCTTCCTGAATCAAGTTCCCTGGCCAACATTCTGCCTTCCACAAGCTGGCTCTAACCTACCTTCTCAGGTTTCTTTCTCACTAAATAATGGTAGTAATAGTTTGCATTTGTCTGTCACTTTGCAATTTACAAAATGCTTTCACATTTCTTATCTCTTTGTATCTTCTCAGTAGCCATTTTTTTTAGAGATGAGGACTTAGAACCTGAAAGGCAAAAGGACCTGTCCTAAGCATCCAAATCTGGAATGGATTGTGACTGAGATAGGTTGTATTATCCTTTATACTACTGCCCCCCAGCCCCCATCCAGAGCTAGTTTACCCTTTCTTGCCCCTTTGATGTGAGGCTTTGGCATGGACTTGCTCTAGCCAATGAAATGTGGGCATAAGTGGCATGTATCACTCTGAGCCAGCTTCTGGTTTGCCATATCTTCTCTTTTTACTTCATCGGAAGACTGGGATTACATGTGATCACGGCAAAGCTAGATCTAAACTGACTACACAGTGGTACTTCAGACCTGAAAGTACACTTTCTTCATTCCCTGTCTTCAGATAGATCACAATGTTTGTTCTCACCTCCATGCTTTTTCTCATCTTCCTCTCTCTGCTGGGATTCTACCCATTCTCCAAAATCAAGCTTGGAATTCACCACTTCTGTGCTGCTTTCTCTTTCCATAATACCAAGCACTTAACTGAGCATTACTGCATGCCAGCTACTACGCTAACACTTTGCTTGTGTCCATGCATTCATTCTTCACCCCATGAAGATAAGCCCCATTTCTGTTGCCATGGAAGATCAACAAAATACATTGTTCAAGAGCATACAGTGATAAATGGCAGAGCCAAGACTCAGTGCCCACACTCCTTCCACCCCACTACCTATTTTTCTCTCTCCACTGTTACTTTCTACATATCTCTTCTCAATTGTGAAAATTCCTTATCTGACTAGTCACATTTTCTTGGTCTGGATTTGAGCATAAATTCGACCACTTACTAGTGGTGGAATTAGTGGGCACTTAATTTCTTGGAGTCTCAGGCTCTGCTTGTCTCCCCCACCACCCCTTGTAAGGTACTGGTAAATACTGGCTGACTGAGCCCAGTAAAGGAACTCTCTGAATCTTGGCTTGCACATATGCAAAAATGGCAGTAATATGGGTTCGTCATTTATAGGACTGTTGCAGTGCTTAAGTGATGCCTAGCACAGGGCATGGTACGCTAAGAAGCCTATACAACTTCGCTATTGTTACTAGTAAAAGCTGTGGGAAAGATAATATAGTGTATAATATATAGAGAGAAACAATAGCTGTTGGAATGGGGAAAGTTGGCACCATGGTAAAATGTCTTGAATGGACGTTGAAGCATGCAGAGGATCTAGACACAGACAAGAGGTGAAGGGAAGGACATTTTAAGCAGAGGGAACAGTGTAGGTAAAAACACAGTGACAGTGTAAGTCTTTAAATCTTTCAAGGTCCTATCTAAGGAAGTATCTTAAATATGAAAAAAAATCATGCATAAAAGTGCTCATTGCAGCATTATTAAGAAAAGTGTGAATATGGAAATAACCAACATGATCAAAAATAGGGAAATGGTTAAAGAAGAGATCTTATATCTATCTGCTATATTATTACATATACATATGTATACATATGTACATATGTATTTATAATTAATATTATTACATCAACATTATATAACTAAGTGTATGAGCAGTGTAAAATAAGGGGAAAGTTTACAATTGGTGCAATGTTGCAAAAGAAAGATGAGATAAAATTAGTAACCAATATGGTTACACCTATATATAAATTTCAAGATCAAAAATAACATTTGATATAAAAAGTTTAGGGGAAAGCATACTAAAATACTAGAAAAAGTGACTGGAGTACTGGGCTTTGGTAACTGTTTTGGAAGGGTGTGAGGAGGGGTGAGGGGAAGAAGAACATAAGGGAATATAGTGATGGACTGTAGGTGCTTTGATGATGGGAGAACTACAGTGATGGCCCTGAGAGGAGAAATCAGATAATGTCCAAAAATTAACCATGTAAGAAAAAAGTACTACATTTAAATTTTTTAAAAATAAATAAGTTTTCTTGTTTACACTATGAATCACTCTTATTACTATAGCTAACGTTTATTGATACACCTCTGACTATGTATCAGCACTGCACTAAATTTGATACATATTACCTAAAATCATACAACCCTCTGGGAAGTTTTTTTGCTCACCTATTGCCAACAACGAATCTGACTTCTGTATTTATACAATGAGCAAGTATTATTTTTATAATAGGAAAGCCATATATTTACTGTACTCATTTAATATTTTATTAATAAAAGAGATTCAGGTTCCCCACTCTTTTTTTTCTGGTATTTCAAACATTGTTAAAAACAAACATTGTATCTACACATTACTGCTTACATAGGTTGTGTTTATATCTTGGTATTCTTATTTCTGTAAATTACATTTCTTAAAGTATATTTTGGGTCAAAGTACATGTGCTTCTTTTCTATTTTGAACTAATTTTAGACTTACAGAAAAGTTACAAAAGCAATAGAGATAATTTGGCAAGAAAAAAAAATACGGATGTCATAGCTTAGATGAGTCTTGAAGACATTATGCTAAGTCAAAAAAGTCTGTAATGAATGGCCAGTTATGTGAAACGTCTGGAAGAGGTAAATCCATAGAAACAGAGAGCAGACTGGCTGCCTGTGACTGGAAAAGGTGAGGAAGGGGAGTGATTACTTATGGGTTTAGGGTTTCCTTTGGAGATGAGTGATGAAAATGCTTTGAAATTAGATAGTGGTGATGGTTACACAACCCTCTGAATATAACGAAACCACTGAATTGTATACTTTAAATGGGTGCATTTTAAGGAATGTGAATTATATCGTAATAAAGATGTTATTAGAAAAAAGAAAACAGCAGAGAGTCCCAAGATAGCTAGATACTCCCCTCTAGATTCCCCTAGTGTTTCCAACTGGGGAATAACAGGAACTCCTTTTTTTTTTCCTAACAATTATTTAAAAGAAATGAAAATCCTCTATATGTATATATGCTGTCTTATATTTGCAGTAGCATACAGAAAGTAGTAGAAATAAGCAGTAAACTAAACACTGATTATTCAGTGGTAGAAAAGAGGTCAGAGGGACATTATTGTTTTTATAGCCCTTGATTTGGTTTAATTTAATATAAAAGGGCATGTGATCTTTATAACATTTTCCATTTAAAAATACAAAGAAAAAAAAAAAAAGACAAGCGTTGCTTCCCCTGGGTATTCCATGGCCAGAAAGCTATCTCTAGGTATTAAGTAGTGAGATGTTTATTAAAATCACACTGCTGGGGTCCTGTACCATCTGCTTCTTGGAGAGATGGAATGTGAGCTGGAATCCTGGGGGATGAAAGGAGTAGCAGCAGCACTAGTTAAGATGAAAGCTTCCGGGTTGGGCAGAGTTGCATTTGAATCCAACTCTGCCACCTACCGAGCTGTGCACTTCAGGCAAGTTATTTAACTGCTCTGTGCCTCAGTTTTCAGTTTTAAAACAGGACTCATTAGATGACTTCTTTCACTGGGTTATAATGAGAATAAAAATGAAATCAAACAGGCAAGATGCTTAGCATACAACCTGGCACTTAGGCATTCATAAATATAGGGGTGATTGTTAGTAATAGTATTTACAGTAGATACTTCCTAATGGAGGAGGGGAAATGGTGACTGTAAAAGTTTAGAGAAGGGGACAGCAACCCGATCTTTGGCTAGGCCAACTGTGCTTCATTACACAGATCTTGACGTACTCCTGTGTCATAATCAGAACTGACTTCATTCTTGTTGTGCTCTACCCAGTTAAAATGAAAGACTACATTCCCCAGACTCCCTTGCAGCCAGAGTCTGGGGCCATCTGGATAGGACTTCCCTATAGGAAGATGCCCATTTGCTCTTCCTTTCTCTCTGTCATCTTGCCAAATGGATCCTATAGCTAATGGCAAGAGCCCTGTTGGTAATCTTAGTCCAGGCAACAACCTTGAAAAGAAAGCCATACCCTACAGATGGTGAGGTAGAAGTGTTAAGGGGAAAGGATGTCCTAGAGTTTTAAGCGAGTGGGTGAGGACCCACGGACAGGCAGCCCAGTTCACATGGGGTTGCCCTGTACCAGAAGCACAGGATCCTCAGTCCTGATGTCCCTTGAGTCTCCATGCCAGTACCACCTTGCCTCCTTCTGGACTTCTTCCTTTTAAAAGAAATCTCTATCTTGGGCCCTCCCTGGTGGCACAACAGGTTAAAGTGCAGCACTATGAAGCCAGCCACAGCCACTTCAGCGCAACTCCCAGGGCCCAGGGATGACCCACACAGCACAGCAGACTGCTCCCCTCAGCAGTGTACTTTGTTAAACTGCCTGTTCTGCTCCCCACTCTGTCTCTGGTGAATCCTCTCACCTCCCCTGCACCTCTGGCCCCTGTACCTCAGGTCGGTCTGCATAAATAAATAAATCTTTAAAAAAAAAGAAATCTCTATCATGTCTAGGCCCCTTTCTAAGTTTTCTGTAATGGGAAAATCAACACAGCCCTAACAGTGTTCTCAGAGAACAATTATCCTACAAGCAAACACTCAATGGCGAGGTGGTAGCAAGGGGTATGGCCTGGAGTGGCTATCTGCCTTCTTCTGGGTAAGGCCAGGGTTTGGCCAGAACACTTACTCATCACCGATGTACAGCTTGGGCCAGACCTCGTTGACATGGGTGTACTGGGGACTGCCCTTCCAGAAGAGTCGCTCCAGCTCAAAGGCTCCAGGGGTACAGTAGTCGTCCGCCTCTCCCTCCTCCTCCGCCCTTGGCAGCAGCCTCTTGGCAGACGGGTAGGCTTCCTTGAGGCTTGTCTTTGGTTCTCCAGATGTCATTTTGGAGCCAAGGGGTTTTCTTTCCTTTCTGAAACTGGTCATGAGAGAAGGTCAGGATTGGGGTTAGCAGGGGACAGAGACAGGGAATGGACTTTACAGAGAGAGATAGGAAGAAGCTGATCTTAAAATTTGGCAGGCATGTCCTGCTGAGCTTCTGCTTCCTTTTTCCAGGCCACAGAGCTAAACAAGGGAGGCCATGATGGCAGTTAAACAATACTTCCCCAACATTCCAGTCTCCTCCAGAGCTAAAGTGCTAGGGGGTCCTCTGAAGTGGGCCATGGCAGATTTGCCCCACGCCCAAGGTGGCTTTGGACCTAAGTCCCTACGGACAGCTGGTCCCTTACCTCCTTTCTTTTAGCTCTTACCTTTTCTTCGGTGCCTGCTTTTTCCTTTAACTGACTGGGACCTGCTGGCATGGACTTTTGAACCCAAATAAAGAGGTCCCCGACACTCCAGGCCTATGGAATTTAACATTTCCCCTCTGGGGAAAGGGCACACCTGTAACTCCAAAGCCTGTCTGGTCTGGCCAGCCACACACATACTTGGGGCTTCAGAGGCTTTGGGGTGGAAGGAAACTTGGCTGTAAGAGGATTTGTCAACTTGTTGGGAAAGCTGAAATCCATGTTCTCTTCTCTCACACTAGGAGGCTGGCAGCTGTGTAACTTTCTAGGGGTTCAGAAGAGATGCTCCAAAATAGAAAGCTCTGTCTACAGATTGAAAGGTGCCTTTGAGGTGTTTTAGTCTCTGAAGTGAGTGTGGAGAAATTTCCATTGTCTCCCAGGAAATGAATTCTCCAAGGCAGCTTTGTTTCCTGAGCAGAGTGACTACTACATCTATTGAGAAGGGAAGTTCTCCCTGCACCGAGACACTGAAAGGAGAAAAGGGTAGAGTGACTAATAAACATGGAGGTGAAGGGGTGGGGGGTCAAGGGAGAGATACTTTTTCTTCAGTAGTTATCTAGTGCTCACTTTGTGACAGGCACAGTTCCAGTGTTTTCAATTTTTAATTCATGGCACTGTCATTCTCCCTGTTTTGCAGATGAGGAAAATTGTAAACTGAGGATATTTGTGATACTGGGCTTGTCTTCTAAGGAAAAATAATTGCTGACATGGGGAGGAAGGGATTTGAAAAATGGAAAGAAGGATTCGTAGCTTCAGAGACCACTAAGATCATGTCAGAGGGACTCCAAATACAAGTTGAAGAAAATACATTCATTTTTGAAGAGAGGTAATAAAAATAGCTGCAGTGAATTGGAGCACAAGAAACCTATCAGTTGTCATCCATTCATTTATTGGTAGACATTTTAGTTGCTTCCATGCCTTCTCTATTGTAAATAATGCTCCAGTGAACATGGGGTAAATCATTTCAAATTAGTGTTCTCATTTTCTTCAGATGTATACCCAGAAGTGGCATCATATTTTTTTTTTTTTTAAGATTTTACTTACTTTTTTTTTGTGTAGAAGAACTGGGGTGTAGGCCAGAGGTGCAAAGGGTGAGAAGACTCACCAGAGATAGAGTGGGGAGCAGAACAGGCAGATCTACTGAAATACACTGCTGAGGGGAGCAGTGGGTGAGACAGGAGAGGTCTGGTGTACCATTTGGGTCACCTCCCTGAATGGGATCAAACAGTAGAGGGTCTGCTTGGTAATAGCATTGAGACTTTAACCCTTAGGCCATCAGGGAGGCCTAAGATGTCAGGATTCTTAAAACCAGTATTCACTGCTGGAAAATACTAGGGAAGCAGTTCATTGTTTTGAAGACACATAAGTAAAGAGACAGATGCTAACATTTATTGTTCCTTTCTGATAAAAACTGTGCTCTTGGGTAGATGAGAAGTTTCTCTTTTGTAGAAGTAGTCAGGTAATTAAAGAAGGAAGAAAGCAGCACTTTGCAACACCAGATAAGCAAATGGGTGTAGACATTCATTGGACACGGACTGCCAACAACATGAAAGGACAGTCTGACAGGATGGGCTTTCTGCTGAAAGAAGGCACCACCCCCCCACAAAATCAGTCTTTCTAAAGGAAAATTTGAATCTTTGATCCAAGTCCTCAAACTCTAGATCTGTTAGCCAATAATGCAGGAGATTCAGAGGATGGTTAAATTATAACACAGACCCTAATCTCTTAGAAATACATACTGAAATATTAACAGATGAAGTGATAAATTATCTGTGACTTGTATCCACAACAATAAAGCTGAAAGATCTCATAACATGTGGGGGAGACTCTAGATGAAGGTGGTGTGTATGAGGCAAGATTGGCATCCTCAGTGATGGTTGCATTGTAGTTACTGTTTCTCTTTGTGTGTTTGAAAATGTCCAAGACCTTTTAAAGAGAAAAAGAAAAGTGCTAAAACTACTGCTCTGGAAAATTTTATTTTCCCAAGTTCACAGTAGATGGGTTAAAGAATCCCTAGGTAGCAATGCATGTCTTTGGGGAACATGGGAAGCCAGGATCTGTGTCGATCTGCAAAATTCTGGGGGTGGGATGTGAGGACAATGACAACAGAAGTGGCCCTTCTTCTAAGTCTCTAAATGTGTGATGTGAAGATCTCCTCTATCAGTCATTTATCTGCTAAAAATATGGGTTCCTGGGTTGCTCAAGGGGAGGGAGCCTCCATTTTAAAGAGCTCCCAAGTGCATCTGATACTCACTAAAGTTTGTTGATAATTGCCCTAGGATGTAGCTAGAGAGTCAGGGAGCTGCTGAATCAAGAGGAGGTGTTCATATGTTTTCCATCTTTTCACTAAAGTGGAAGCCAGACCCTTATCCCAGAACAAGGCTGTGGGATTGGGAGGAACAAAGGGCTGGATGACCTCACTCCGGGCTCCTTCAAGATAGCTCCTACTGCCCTTTGTGTTTGTAACCTCAATGTCTGGACACACAGGCGGTGCTTTGGAAATACTTGTTTAATGCGGGAATGGCTTAGTGAATGAATAGAATGAGGGAGGGAGTGAGCGAGAGGGTGAATGAAGAAGACTCTGAGCTTGTGCTAAAAATTTCAGGCAGAGCTGATGAGGTAGAACTGAGCTTCTGGGCCGATTCAGGGAATGGGGGAAGAAAGCAAGAGAATATAGGATAGACTGTTCCCTGTAGTGGGTGACTGCTAAAGCTTGAACTCCATGTTGGTGCCTGACTACTGATGTTCACCATCTCAAAGGGAGGAGTTGTTTCAAGGTATGTGGAAGCAACACAGACACCTCAAACTCCTGAGTGTAGTTTAAAAAAAAAAAAGATTATTTATTTATGCATACAGAACTGGGGTACAGGCCAGAGGTGCAGGGGCGGTGAGAGGATCACCAGACAAGAGTGGGGAGCAGAACAGGCAGATGGACAAAGTACACTGTTGAGGGGAGCAGCGGGTGGGTCAGGAGAGGTCTGCCTCGCCATGTGGGTCACCTCTGGGGCAGGGATCGAACTCATGCTGAAGTGGCTTTAGCTTCTTAGTGCTGTGCTGCCACCAGGGAGGGCCCTCTGAGTGTAGTTTTAGCTCTTCTTAACACAGGCTTCTTAATGTTAAAGAGAAGCTCGGACACTTCATGGCACGAGCTTGTCTTGTCTTGAAATGAGTGATCCTGGACACCTAATTTTGGAGGTTTAGCACATGTTGATCACTGCCCACCCCTAAAGGAGACTTTAGAATAGGTGAGTCTAGGGAATTGCATGCTGAAACCTCTGCCTGCCTTCTTTGATTACTGAAGCTGACTTCACCCTTGCTGGAGCCATTCCTCCTTCATTATTCTGTAGAAGGAGCCATTCCCTTCCTCATCTCCGTGCTGAAAGCCTCGGCTGCATTTCCAGACAGAAGAGGAAGTGGTGTGGTCTACCCAGCGGCTTGGCACGCAGAGGGAGCTCTGGGATCTATTATCCTCCAGCGTGCAGATTTGATGGGGTAAGAGAACAAAGCGTGGAGCCGTCCAGAAACCACAGACCTGTAATCTTTCCAAATCCTGAAGGTGGCTTATGTGCATCCCTCTCTGCATGACTCCCAAATCTCTGAATCTCAGAGAGGCCAGGAGCGTCTGTTTCCCAGATCACAGCCAAAATGGAAGGGGAAGACAAATCTGTTCTGTTTGGTTTCCATAGATTCGACCCAGAGATTAACTGCCAAGGTCTCGATGACACATACAATATCAATCACAGGCTAAATGTCATAATGAGAGCTGGGCAGGTTGTCAAGAGAGGCCTCTAGGTTCTTATTACAACTTCATATTTAAAGGCTTGGTCCCAGGAAACCAAATGCCAACTTGAAGGCTACTTGGCCTGTGTGCAGCAATGGCCTGTCTCCTCCTTAAAGGACAGCAAACATGGACTCCTTGGAGAGGTAGCAAAGAGGGAAAAAGGATGATAAAAAGTAAAATATGTCACTTAATGAACCTTTGGTCTGTGAGGTACCCCATGCACAACAGTGGTCCCATAGATCCTGGGTATGTGGTAGGCTGTTCCAGCTACATTGTGATTACACTCTGACATTTACAATGTCAGAATCACGTAACAATGCATTCTCAGAACAATGCATTCCCCCTCACTAAGCAGTTCATGACTCAGACAGGAGACAACAGAGGGACCATGGCTGGCACACTAGTGAGCAGATTCCCCTCTAAGAGAATGAAGGCCCAGATTTCTGGTATTTTTGTGAGAAATCAGCTAACCCGCTGATTTGTGAATAGAAACAGCCATGGCAGATGCTCTCCTTGCCCTATCCCATTCTTCAGCTCAGCTCTCTGCAGCCTAAGAGAACAGTCCCAAAAGACTTCCTCCCTCGAACACCTGTATTTCCCTATGTGTGGCTATTTTCTGATCTTTCCACCTGGGAGTTACCAACTGAAGATAATGGCTACCAAGAGATAGGGGTGGGTGGAAAGTTCCTCTACCCTGAGTGGGACCATTTTGAAGTCTGTTCTCAAATCTCCTGGAAGTTCCTCAGTTGTCCAGAGTATAACCTGTTCGCTCTCTCCTATTGCTGGCTCTTCTCCCTCACACTTATTTTTAAAGATGT